TGGATTTTTTCACCGGTAGACGCCGGTGTGTTGGTAAATGAACAGGCGGGCAGACTGGCTGGCTCTGCACAACTTGGTGGAATACTGATACATGATAAGGCAGATGTGGTTAGTGCCTTGTGGGAGAGCGTGTACACTTCGGAGGAGCAGATTTAGTCGGTGTGTTGGGAAATGAACAGGCGAACAGACTGGCTGGCTCTGCACAACTTGGTAGAATACTGATGCATGATAAGGCAGACGTGGTTAGTGCCTTGTGGGTGAGCGTGTACAGTTCGGAGGAGCAGATGGATCACCACAGTCTGGTGAGATTGATGCAGTTGGGGGTGACGAGAGGTTCTGGCAGAAGCTCGAGGCTCAGAGGAAAGGCAAGACGGACGTTTAATCAGAAAGCTACTGATACCATTAGTATCGGAACTCTTCGCTGGCTGCTGAAGATGGGGACGGAGCGCTTATGGGAATGCCCCGAGTGCTGTGATGTCGGTTCTTGAATCAAATCAAATCAAACTGATATTATGGAGTTCAGCACATTTTCTTTGTAGCTTTTCTGCTGTTCAGTTTCAGTGAGTTACTTTTCAAGGTTAATCTGCATCTGAAATCTATGTTGGGCATCTGCTTGGAATAGTGCATTATTTATTGAATCAGTGAAACACCAACAAACGAACTATGCCCAAATGCAGTTTGCAAACCTTCATAACTGTTATTATGGGAGTTCTGTACATTTTGTTTGTTATCCTTTCGGCTGTTCAGTTTCACTATCAGTTAGTTTCTAGGTTAATCTGCATCGAAAATCTATGTTGGCCCTCTCCTGCAGATAGTGCATCATTTATTGGATTAGTGAAATGCCAACAAGCGTGCTATGCCCAAATAAGTTGGGTTTATAAGTCACGCATTTGCCCAGCCTGTGCAACAACCGATGGTTCGTCACCAGATGGCGCGGTTCAGTGCATGCAAACGGCTGTCTGTAATCCACAGGGAAACTAGCGCAGCAGGAAGCATCATATCATCAAAAATGAGTTTCCCTGCTTCGTGCGATCCTCTTGGTAAAAGTCTTTTTTTTTTTTTTTAAATATCCAGAAACCATGAGTTGTTAACCCTTTGGCTCGGTACTATGGATGTAGAAACCTTTCGGCCTTAATCTGGCGATACAGAATTTCTGACATTGGTTACCTGCATAAGCCACTTGCCTCATTGAGCGTGACTGTGTGTGTTCACCCAATGGCCACCATTTCCTGTGAATTCAAACCTCTTGTATTCAATATCTTGCTGTCGTTATGATTATTGCATCTTAGTCGAAAATGAGACAGCTTCTCACCATAGACCTTTGAATGTTGAATTAAGAATCGACATCACAGCAATCGGGACACCTCCATAAGCGCCCCGTCCCCATGTTCAGCAGCAAGCGAAAAGTTAAAATCCGATGGTACTAGTAACTGTCTGATTGTATATCCCCTGAGTGTCGAGCTTTGGCCAAATCCCTTTATAACTCCTCGCAGTGCCATTCTCCTCAGAGCGTAATGATTTATCTGTTACTGTGCACTGTTCACTAGCTCCCATAGGGCCCTCACAACATCCAGCTTATCATAAATCAGTTCACCACCAAGTGGTGCAGAACTGGCCAGTCTATCTATCTGCTCGTTTCCCAACACACCGGTATTATCTGGAGAAAATACACAAAGGGTGCTAACTACCCGGGACCTTTGAAATGACGCTAGTCACTCTGCGCCGATCATGTTGGTCTCCACCTTTCTCAACATGCTCTGTGAGCTAGTTACAATGACGGCATGTGTGTACAGCTGATTCTCAAGCTAGCGGAAGGCAGCAGTGACTGCTTCCATCTCCATTCTCAAACTATCGCCATCGGTTCGATAAAAGATCCACAAATGCCATGGTTAATGGCTACGGGAGCTGGGCCAGTCATTGTGGCGGTTCAGTGCATTTTGCTGTTGTTGTCTTTCTAGCAGTAAGGGACAAATTAGAGGAGGAGGGTGAGAGATGTTGAAAGAAAGAGGTGTGATATCAAAAACAGGTACATGTCACAAAACTCACCACATCCCACGGGGCACGAGATTTCGTACCGGCTCCCATTCATGCCGTGACCGTTCCTACGGGTTGTCTTATACTGTAGGGGTGTTGGGACATGCGTTCTTTCTTCCCCGCCATCAATACACACCGTGCGGAAAAGCGGCTCCCGTTCGTTCGAGCCCGACATGAAAGTGTGCAGCTCCCTTTCGTGGCATGCGACATTGAGCGATTTTTTGGGGCGGTCACTCGGGAGCGAGTATTCAACTAGTTTTCTTTTCTCTCTAAACTAGGTCTCATGTGGAACCGTCGCTGGTTTGAGAATTGGTGACATTTAGGGACGGGCCCTGAAAAGGGCTGTCTGTGGGGGAAGGGGGGGGGGGAAGAGGCGGCTAAAAAAGAACTGACAGTGTGGATGTACCGTATACTGGCTGGTGACCCACCATGCTGAAGAAAAGCAACGCTACTCTGCTTGTCGCTAATAAACGCTGACAGTTCAAGGACATTCATCGCAACGGTCAAAGCACCAAGTAAGGCTGCAGTGATATCGATAAAGAGCGAAAGCACCATGTAAGTCACGCTCACAACGCTGAATACAGAATGCTCTATATTTAAAGAAGAAGAATTGGGGAAGAGTGTGGAGAGTATAGAAATACTGCCGCCAACAAGTCGGACCTCGGCTGTCAGGTCGACCCAGGTTTGACTGGATACCAAGTACATACTTGGGAGTAGAGACACCAGGCATAGGTCTAGCCCTATATGCCCGAAGGCGCGGAGAAAGGTCCTTTACTAGCACGTCAGAGTGCATGTGGCTCTGAGAGGCGGGGAACCAACAGTCTGCACACACACTAATCCAAGATCTGCAAAACTGGATGTACACTGAGGTTCTAGTACAAGAACAAAGTCAATAAGTGACGAGGTAAGGTTAGTTGCGTATCCTTTACAGCCCCTGGCTGTTGTGTGGTTTTTCTAGGCAAATTTACGTCCAGTAGCTTGCCATTGCCTTGGACGGTCGGCTTTCTTGATACCACTGTTAAAACCAACGTAAGGCACATGGCCCGCAGCTGGGATCGAACCCGGCAACCCGGAATTACGACGCGTTCGCATCGACTTAGCCACAGAGGTGACCAATAAGTGACGAACAACCAGAAATGTCCGTCGCTGTTCACAGCCGATGTACCATAGAATAACTGCGGCCAACACTCTGATGTTGACGTTCAGAGCTTAACAGCCCAGTTTCCACGTACTTTATTCTTGTCCTAAGCTTGCGTGCATATGGGAAGAGAACTGGTTATATGTTCACATGTCGCCGAGGGGCTAAGTCTCTATCGACCCAGCACTGACACAGATGTGAACGAGGAAGTAACGTCTATTTACCTGTGACGGTAAAACATCTAGTGTAAGTAGTTACAGTTGGATAAGCAAGTAAGTCAAGTGTGTGTATGCGCAGGCGCGTGGGTAAATGTGTGTGTATATATATATTTATATGTGCTCACCACGAAGTATCCCTGAAAAGGACTCTTATGGTGACGATGAGACCAAATGAGACGACACAAATACTGTTCTGACCGACAATGGACAGCGAAGTCGTCTACTGCCGCCAGCGAATGTTCGACCAGCTTGCCGATGATGTAGCTATACATCGTTGCTACCTACACACACACACACATATATATATACACACACACACCCTATATATATATACACACACACACACACCCGTCTACATGCATCTCTCTAGTTTGAGCTTCTCTTTCCAATTAGTGACACCAAGTGTTTGCAGGTCTGTCTGGATATTATCTTTCCATCGTATTCTCTCTTGTGTATAGTTTTTACTTCTCCATCACCTAATATTCTCTCAATATGCCCCAGCCATTTCAGTATATAAACCCTCATGATGCCAGTGATTTGAACAGCTTATGAATTTCGTTGCTGCTTCCGCCTCTCAATTTTCCGCAATTTCTATCTTTGATAGGTACAAAGATTCGACATATTATATATATATATATGTGTGTGTGAGTAGGTGTCGGTATGTTATGTACGTTAGTAAAGTAAAAAGTAAAGGATCCTTTTCCACGCCATCAGGCGTATAGGGCATATAGAGCTAGACCTATATTTTATAGACCAATCGGCACAAGATGGGTGTCAGCATCACGCCGGCCGCCTTTACTTTCCCGGGACTGCACCCGGTACCCACTTAAGGCTGGGAGCCAAGGTCATGTTTGAAAAAAGTCCGGCTCCGCCAGGGTGCGAACCCACGACCTTCCGATCCGCGACGAGCATCTAGCCGCTCGGCCACGGCGACTATGTACGTTAGCAGGTCCCTTAATTTTAAATGTCTCCGTCTGCTCTCATTCAAATCAGAAACAATGTTTCTCTTTGGTTATCTGCCATTCTCTCTATATTGACTTGCCTTGCGGGGAAACAAATCGCCACGTTCAGCCATCATCCGCGTAGGGGGAGCTTTAGTTATAATTGTGACCAGGTTATTTGCGCCATATAAAATGGCTTCACATCGCTCCACCCCCCAAAAGTAACCCTGAAAATGACTTGTAGTTTTTGATGCGATTATAGCAAACAGACCCAAATACTGTACAGACCAGCGACGAAGTCGTCTACAGGCCAGCCAATAGGCGACCGTCACCAATGTCCTCTCTATATGCCATAACCATGACAGCCCAGTTGCCTTCATACTGCCGATAATTAGTGGCTATTAAAACAGACTACAAATTTCACTGCTGTATCTCTGTCGGCTCTGTGGCTAAGTCGATGCGAACGCTTCGTAATGCTGGGTTCGATCCAAGCTGCCGGCCTTGCGTTGGTTTCGACAGTGGTATCAAGAAAGCCGACTGTCCAGTAAGCAATGGCAAACTACTGGACGTAAATTTACCTAGAAAAACCACACAACAGCCAGGGGCTGTTATGGTTGGTTCTGCAACGTCCTGTAGAGGATACACAACTAACCTATCTTACTCTCCACTCTAAGCTGTTTGTCTATTTGATGGCCTCAATGATTCAGAAAAAAAAATGTTAACAAACATGAAATCAATACTCCAAACAAACCTGAAATCAATACTCCAAACAAACATGAAATCAATACTCCAAACAAACATGAAATCAATACTCCAAACAAACATAAAATCAATACTCCAAACAAACATAAAATCAATACTCCAAACAAACATGAAATCAATACTCCAAACAAACATGAAATCAATACTCCAAACAAACATGACATCAATACTCCAAACAAACATGAAATAATACTCCAAACAAACATGAAATCAATACTCCAAACAAACATGAAATCAATACTCCAAACAAACATGAAATCAATACTCCAAACAAACATGAAATGATACTCCAAACAAACATGAAATCAATACTCCAAACAAACATGAAATCAATACTCCAAACAAACATGAAATCAATACTCCAAACAAACATGAAATCAATACTCCAAACAAACATGAAATAATACTCCAAACAAACATGAAATCAATACTCCAAACAAACATGAAATCAATACTCCAAACAAACATGAAATCAATACTCCAAACAAACATGAAATAATACTCCAAACAAACATGAAATCAATACTCCAAACAAACATGAAATCAATACTCCAAACAAACATGAAATCAATACTCCAAACAAACATGAAATCAATACTCCAAACAAACATGAAATAAAACTCCAAACATACATGAAATCAATACTCCAAACAAACATGAAATCAATACTCCAAACAAACATGAAATCAATACTCCAAACAAACATGAAATCAATACTCCAAACAAACATGAAATCAATACTCCAAACAAACATGAAATAATACTCCAAACAAACATGAAATAATACTCCAAACAAACATGAAATCAATACTCCAAACAAACATGAAATAATACTCCAAACAAACATGAAATCAATATTCCAAACAAACATGAAATCAATACTCCAAACAAACATGAAATCAATACTCCAAACAAACACAAAGTCTATAAGTTAGACATTTTAATAGTACATTTATTTACATACATTTTGTTCTGGACAAAATAAGATTGTGGGAGGCAAGTCATGACCTCATTAATCAATGTTTTCAGGTTTGATCTCACCATTATGTAACCAGTGTTTGCTGAACATCACCTTCTTCAATCTCTTAAATCAATCAATAATCAGGTGCCATCTCCCCAGTGAAAGTTGGCTGTATGCTCACTTAGAATACTCTCTGCACTCTGATATTACACCCCCCCCCCCCCCCCCCCCCCCCCAAGCTCTGTTTCCTCCAATCTGGTTTTTTATAATAAGAGTGTTGTTTGTGTGTTTTAGTATGGTGAAAAGATTTCAAGCACCTTTTTATATTTTTTTTTTCCCGTCTTCTTTCCATTTCACACTTATCACAATCTGCCAGGGGGGCAACATGGTCTCGAGGCATGGTGTCCGCCTCGAGTGCTGGAGGTTCCGGGTTCAATACCTGGTAAGGGCTGGGATTTTTCTATGTGGACTTGGACTTCCAGTAATTCCCCCTGGTCTCTGGGTAGTGAGATCGGACGCCCGTGTGCATTGTTGCGTACGTAAACAATCACTTCTTCTTCTTCTTCACTTCCTCTTTTACCGCTGTGGGTGTCGAGGGAGATATAAGGTTCTGTTTCTAGCTCTTCTGGCTGCCTCGACCATAGGCACATCGTGCTGTTGTAGAGTTTCACTGATGTTATCCTTCCATCTTGTTCTTGGTCTACCCCGTGCTCTACGTCCTTCTCTTTCCATGTAAGCTTTGTATGGTATGGTGTCACAAGGCATTCTCTCTAAGTAGGGCCAAATCCCTTGGCAGTTGCAAATCAAAAAGAGTAGCCTAACAGCGTTGGCCGGGCACATTTTTGAAATAAAAATCTACTCAAAGTATTTCAGGATCCTCACTGGTGCTACAGAGCGTGTGCACTGTGCTGAGCTTCTTCAGACTCAGACTTGAGTTACAAGAATGGAACACTTATGGGTTACTACCCGGTGCCATGATGTTGACCATTATTCAAACTTCACAATCTGCCAGTGTGCATTTTCAATTCATTGTCATCTTGGACTCTTTCAGCTTCAAATATTACCCCATGTGTGACAATGTCTGTGTCTGCCAACCAACCCATAATGTGTTATTACATCTTTTACATTTGGTTTGAGTAAACTAAGTAAATCTGGCCAGATATGCTTACATGTCACACTGTGTATGTTGTTTCTATTAAAGTACAAGAGCGCTTCAAATGAAAACGTTAAAAGTGTGATAGAAATTACAGTTACCATGCCATTGTCAGGGAGTCGCCCTGGCTGAGCGGCCAGACGCTCGTCGCGGATTCGAAGGTCGTGGGTTCGCTCCCTGGAGGAGCCAGACTTTTTTAAAAAATGACCCAGGCTCCTAGGTCGACCCAGTCCTTAAGTGGGTCCCGGGTGAAGTCCCAGGAAGTGGAGGCGGCGGATGTGATGCTGACCACATCACCCATCTTGTGCCGATTAGTCTATAAAATATAGGTCTAGCCCTATATGCCTCAAGGTGTGGAAAAGGGCTCTTTTCTTTTATGCCACTGTCAGGTAACCTGTCCATATTGTCGTTCAGGATGCCAACAATGTTAAGCACGTGAAATTTTAACAGTGTTAAGGTGACCACCACATTTTTCACATGTACCAAAGTGGAGCAACATTCTGTTGTTTTCTGATCAGTGAAGGGGTGAAACCCATAGAAAATTATTGGTGAATGAAGGTCTAGTATGGCAATGCATGTCAGTTAAACCTATAGAAAATTATTGGCGAATGAAGGTCTAGTATGGCAATGCATGTCAGTGAAACCTATAGAAAATTATTGTCGAATGAAGGTCTAGTATGGCAATGCATGTCAGTGAAACCTATAGAAAATTATTGGGGAATGAAGGTCTAGTATGGCAATGCATGTCATTAAACCTATAGAAAATTTTTGGTGAATGAAGGTCTCGTATGGCAATGCATGTCATTAAACCTATAGAAAATTTTTGGTGAATGAAGGTCTCGTATGGCAATGCATGTCATTAAACCTATAGAAAATTATTGGTGAATGAAGGTCTCGTATGGCAATGCATGTCATTAAACCTACAGAAAATTATTGTCAAATGAAGGTATAGTATGGCAATGCATGTCATTAAACCTACAGAAAATTATTGTCAAATGAAGGTATAGTATGGCAATGCATATAATTTCTATCACCATTCTGAGCTTTTTATTTGAAACCCCCTCATATTAAATGCAACTGGTTTCCTTGTGCTTGTACTCAGATAATGAAGTTAGAAAGAGATGGAGGATATAGGGTAAGTTTCATCCAATAGTGAAGGCATCCAATAGTGAAGGATAGAACGACTTGGCATGCGTTGGTTGAGGGCCTGTGTTCCACTGAGGGAGAAGGCAGTAGAAGTAAAAAAGTCATTTATTGATCAGCACTCATAGAAAGAGGTAGAAAGATAGAAGGACACACTAGACAAAATAAAAATCAAAAGCTGCGTATTCTTGAGGTATGACATCTGCCTCAAGTGCTGGAGGTCCTGGGTTCAAACCCCGGTGTCGGCTGGGATTTTTTCACGTGGACTTCTAGTCTAGCAATTTCCCCTTGTCTCTGGGATGTAAGACCGGTTGCCCGTGTGCATTGTTGCAAATGTAAATAAAAAAAACCCTTGGCAGTTGGAGAACAAGAAAGAGCAGCCTAACGGCGCTGCCTGGGCCAAATTTGGAGTTAACAATCTACCCAAAAATAGTTCAGGATTCTCGCTGCTGAGATTCTTCAGACTTAGGCTTGAGCTAGAAGTAGAATGGAGCACTTATGGCTTTACTCCCGTGTGCGATGATGCTGATCCGCCGACCAAACTAAAAAACTAACAGCCCCTCTTTGGGTATATACAGCAAAATCTTATGGGGGCTGAAGTAGCAGCATTCCCCATTACACTGATCAATTCATGCCTTCTCTCTCAGGAACATATACTCTTTTGCGACTGCCTTGAAAAAGGCCGTTGGTAAGTTGTGGTGTGGTTTACAGTTAGGCTGTGATATCAGTGCCTTTTTTTTTGGCCTTTCAGTCCAACACATCCTATTTAAGAAAATCCCTAACTTTTACCGCACATTTTTTTAGGAGGCAGAGTGTTGGCTGAATGGTTAGAATGCTGGGCATTCAAGTGGGAGACCCGGGTTCGAACCCTCAGTAAAGCTGGGGATTTTCAGCCGGGGGCAAAATAAAATCCTCACCTGCATGGGATGGCCGTGGCGACAGCACTAGCTATGCAGCCGTAAATCACCAGGCTCAACGACTCCCCTGCCTACACTGCAAAAGTGGTATTATAAAGGCAGTAACTAGCAGTTTTTTGGTCTTCATTTCTTGAAGGCTGTTCTTGATGTCGTCATTCTACATTCTGCAGGGTCTTTCCCTTGCTCTGTTTCTATTATATTCCTCCAGCGTGGCTCTGTGTGGTGGTCGGTACCAGGGCATTCTCGCCAGATGGCTAAATCATCTCATCTGTTGCTCTTTGATGAACTGCATCACTGGCTTCAGACCTAGCAACTCTGTATACTTTCAACAGATAGTCTGAAGACAGTAAACATTTCTTATTCTCCTTTTATCGCACACAGCTGTTAAATTAACTCATTAGTTTGAACTATTCGTTCCACTCCTTCTGCCTCATAGTGAAATTATATTAACCCTTTTTAGATTCAAACACTGGCTACACTAAACACAACCTTCTCATCATTAAAAAAAATGTAAACAAATTTAGCGTGGATACAAAAAAAAGTTAGGGTTATCTTTGATGTTTAGATCTTATAAAGTGTAAGTATTCTTTCCATCCCTGAAGTGATTTCAGAACTGTTCTTTAATTTGTCACCTCAAAAGTCTTTTCTTACTTCCCAAATCTCTTTTCTTTTTCTTTGCGATCGGTTTCATATGCTCAGGTAAGACCATCAGGTGAGTTGCCTCTATGAACTCGCATGTCAGCTGCAGGTCCTGATTAACTGCTGGTTGATAATCCATATCTACATGTTGCCAAAGGAAATATCCATATGAATATCCTCAACAGGTCATTTGTATTACATTAAAGTGATCTCTATTGCTGCGTTTTCTGCACATGTCAGCAAATAATCTTGCATTTCCCTTTCTACTGTCCTTCTTCAGGTTATTCATGTTTCCTGTTTCAATCTACCTTCCACCAAAGAGCCATCCTTGCTAAAGTGTCATGAGGTATTCTGCAAAACGTCCAAGCTGTCTTCAACATCTTATTTTGATAATGTTTGTCACCGATGGACACTTTTGTGTGGGTCCTCATCAGTTCTCTACATTTGTGATCTTGTTTGGCCAAAATATTCCCAGGCTTCTTAGAATCAATGAAACTCATCCATAAAATAGCTGAAGGTTAGTGGAATATAATGGGTACACTGCAGGATGCAGCACTCAAAAGACAACAAGTGAAATGTACAGAACTAATTTCTCAACAACCAAAATAGATAAGCCTTGTCATCAGCTGAGAAAGACTGAGTACATATGGGCTTGCCTCTAGTCCTGAGACACTGATTTTAAATAAAGTAAATACAGATGCCCCTAGTGAGAGTAAATTACAGAAGTAATTATAATGAACAAATTGTACACAAACCTCACTTGTTCACAAAAGACTTAACTCCACAGTGTACTGTACCATGTGTCTGAACACACTTGCATTTTTCCTGCTGTAATGAAGTCACTGACATATCCAACCTCCGGACACATCCATCGCAAATCACGAACAGTCTGTCTAAAGTCAGCCGGCAACAGGATCATTTTGGAGTTCCTGCAACCTCCAAAGCCTGCCTGATTATCCACAAGGTTTAACGAGCCAAACAGGCAAATCACCACTTCCCTCTCTTGCTCCAGTCCTTGGGCTGCCAGTGAAGACATTTTGGGTCTATCCGGATGGGTCTCTTAGCCATGGCTCGTTCCTGAGTATGTATCTGTTCTTCTGAAAGGGTGATGATGTACTGTCCCTTGTAGTAGTTTATGAGGTTCAGATGCTGCAATGTGGAGATCACATCATCTTTCTTGATGCTGGTCAACTCTGATATCTCACTGTTGGGAAGACAACAAATTCTCATTGTTAGCAATAGAAAACAAAATTTACTGGTGGGAGGAAAAAAGGTAAACTCTGATACCTCACTACTGGGAAGACAAAAGACTAATTCTAAGCAGGCAAAAATGGCACAAATGGGTTCCACGTGAATGCTCCTAAAAATTATAAGTTTTTCTAAATGGTTCCTGGCAAAATCTAAACAAAGCACTCACTTGATTGTGATACAGGGCCTCTCTCCTGCCTCATTCGGTTTTAAATTGAGTAAAATTTCTAAAATAGTTTGAGACCAGTAACTCCGATACGACAACAAGCCCAAGTCTGACAGTGGTTTTTCTGGAGACCCAGTCTTGCCTTCCACTTTGGACAATTCATAACCTGAAAAGCCAAGCAAAACAAATATCCCTTTACAATCACTAAAATAATGTGGCTTTGAAAATTGATGAAACAATACTGAATGAAAACAGCTGAAACAAAGGGAGAAATTATCAATTTCTTCTTCTATTTAAGCAAAGGGGAGTCACTATGGCATTGGCGGCTGGATGCCCACCTGCAGATCAGAAGGTCATGTGTTTGCGTCCTGATGGAGCCAGACTTATTTGTTTTAAATGACCTGGACTCCCAGCTTTCAGTGTGTACCAGGTGCAGTCCTGGGAAGTAAAGGCTGCCGGCGTGATGCTGACCACATCACCCCCCAAGCGCCGATTGGTCTATTAAAAAAAATAGGTCTAGCCCTATATTTCCAATGCACCTAAAAGGCGTGGAAAAGGGACCTTTACTTTTACTTACTATTTAAGCAAATCTCTAATCAATCGCCTTTTATGGCATGGTTGTTTGAAGGCAGAGGGTCGAATCCTCCCCACTGCTCAAACAGGGCTCCAGATCAACTGGGGGAATCTTTGAGGAACCTTCTAAAACCGTTTCTTGAGTGTTGTTGGTAATCATACCTGTTTAAAACCTTGTGCCACGTGTACTGTTCATAATTTATGAAAAAAAATGTTCCTCCTTGCCTTAATGCCAAATTGTCTAAAATCTCTTTTTGTCTCCCTTTTTGCTTCTTTTCTCCTTCAACTATCCTTCCTGAATAAAGTACTCAAGCTTGCCTCTTCTCAAGCATGCTTAAAGATTCTACATTTAACACAATCAATGATAATTGATTGCAAATGAGCATGTACATATGCTTATGGACATTTATAAAGAAGCCCCCCTGACCACAAGAGCCCACCAGCAGACTCAACAGAAGGCAACATACAACAATTTTCCGTCGACAAACAGGACACTGCAGGCTCAACTACCACATGCATAAAAAAAAAGACTGAACAGTCCCCACAGTGTGCCTGTCAAATAGGACCCCAAACACCTGAACACATTCTACAGATCTATCCACTCTACAGACAACTTTGAAAAGACACCAGGACCTCAAGAGCAAAGTGTGCAAAGCAAGCTAAGGGGAACCATGAAGGACCTGCTACTGACATGCGAGGTCACAGAGGCAACACAACTGATGGTCTAATCTGAGCATACGAAACGGAAAAAGACAAGGAGAAGAAGAGTCCTGACCACCACGGTGAAGCTGATATTTTTGTTCCTGCCATTCAGTCTTATTTAGAATACTGCATCAACCACATTTCCTTTGAAAACTGCATTCTTCATTCCAAAGTTTAGGCATTCTAAACCTAGCCGGGATAAATATTTAACATTCTTTCATTTAATATTGACAAACATCTTCTTCTTAACGCACACAGGCAGAAAACTGTTCATCCACTTGTGGACTTTGGTTAGTTTTAAGGATCTGGCTTATTTATATGCAGACTGTTGGTTCCTTGCTTTTCAGGTGGATGCACTCAGACTTAAAGGGAAATAGCCCTCAATGATTGCCTATTACAACATACTTGTCAGACAATCAGTGGGTCTTTAAAAAAAATGGGACAATGGAACCCGCACTGGGAATATGGACACATAACTGCACTTATTTTTGTTTCATTTTCTCTTGAACAGTGAGAAGACAGACAATATGTGATGTTCAGGACACACAAGAAAGAGCTAATTACACGTTTTGCATTTCTTGCGACAAAAAAAAAAGTTTACAAAAATGTCACTTACTAAACTCAATCAGCAGTTTTCCATAACCTTTCCTCTGATATGGAGGTAATGTCAATATGCATGCTACATTAAAATCCTTCTGCGGACTCTTTTTCCTTGGGAAAGAACAAACAAACAAAAACTTTAAATGCTAAATTTTCAAATACTGTGTAGTCATTGTTATTCTTGGTATAGGCTTGAATTGTTAACTAAATACTTGTAAGTTTTTTTTCAATAGTAATGCTGTACAACGAACAAGCTCAACCACTTTCCATCTGTCTAAGAAAAATAATGAAAATCAAGTGGCAAGACAGGGTCCCTGATTCTGTCGTAGTGGATAAGCTGGCATTCCCGGCATCGATAGCATTCTGGTGCAGTCAGAGATTCGATGGGCAAGTCACACATTGAAAAAGCAATACTCCTCTAGTCAGCAGGCCTGGACAATTTCTGCTAATTTCATCATAAAGCATCAACAGAACTTTACAGTATGATGTTAGACAAGTTAGATGTTGTGAGGGCCCTTTGGGAGGGAGTGAACAGTGTGGAGGCGCAGACAGATCATTACAGTCTAAGGAGAATGGCGCTGCGAGGAGTTACCAGGGGATCTGGCCGATGCTCAACGCTCAGGGGAAGGATGAGACGAATATACAATCAGACGGTTACTGGAATTGGAATTCTTCGCTTGCGGCTGAAGATGGGGAGTGGCCTGAGTGCTGTGATGTCAATTCTTAATTCAACAAACATTCTTACATTAAACTCTATCATGCATTATGTTGTATGCTGAACCAGGTGAGCACCCTATTGCAGCTGCTACAGAGTCGACCGTTACTCGCCTGTCACCTCTAATCATCTCCATCTGCTGCGCTTGTCTTTATCAACAATCGTAGAGCGTCCCCTAGAAATCCGCTTTATCCAGCTAGCCATCGCTAATCATCGGAATAAACATTTGTCAGCATTAATAGGAAACATTTCATTATGAATGTCCGTTGCAGGCAGCCCTTTTGTAAAAAAAAAAAATCACAGCATGTTGTTCGTCGCCATTTTGTTTCTGTGTTTCGAAGGCACATGCAATACCTAGCACCACCTAACCAACAGAGACATACAGTTTGATGTTGCTGTCACCTAATGACATCTTCAGAAACCATCAACTACATCTTCCTGCCATCACATAACCATTTGTGACTTACTGACTTCACAACTCTAACCTGCATGCAGATTTGTATTCTTAGAATAAGTTTCAAAGGCCTAAGTAAAAGCACACAATATTTTTTTTTCTTTTTTTCAAAACTATATCTAGACATATAGTTAAAAGAATGCCAAAATACCATGGGCCGTGTTGCATGAAGGGAGAAAACAGGAAGGTAATAGGAATAAAGAAGAAAATAACTGTAGAAGGGTTAAGAGCAGAGTGTCTGAGAAGAAACACATTAAATACATGGGATGACTACAATGGCCCTGAAATCTCAAGGTTTAATTTTTCTTCTTTTGTTTACTGGTTCGGCAGAAAATTCTGGATTTTGTCAACTTCTGGACTTTAGTCTTGTTCCAGAGCTCAGGTTTTCTGTGCACATCCATTTTACAGATCTGGCTTATATGTACGCAGACTGCTAGTTTCTCACCTCTCAAGCAAAAGCACTCAGACTCTAAAGGAATCACCCTCAATTAGTCCCCTTCTACCGACATGCTTGTCAGGGGAGTGGTGGGTTTATTTCTTTCTTTCCTCCAAAATGGGGCTTCAGAAATTACACAGCGAATGTTCCACTGTGGAAGGACATTTCAGTATCATGAGCAAGTCGTTACTATCCATACTTGGCCACTGACAGGTCTAATGA